ACACTAAGAAACGTATATAGATGTCTATATACATATGTTAGAACGTCATTATGTACTGAATAAACAAAATGACTACTCGGAACATTTTTTGTATAATGTAATGTTTACGATAGAAGAAAATCAGGTTTCAGAGATGGGAAATGTCGTACGATTTATGACACTTGAAAGTTCTGAAAGAGAGAAAGAAAAAAAGAGGTATGGCTCAGATGGAAATCGCAGAATTTGTGAGGAATACCAAAAGTACATTGGATTGATTCGTCAAAAGATATTAGACAGATTATCTTCTCGAGATCTGAGATTGCGTGAGTACCAAAGAATACCATGTACGTACATGTTCATTATATTGATACCGAGTCATCGTACCGAGGTAGCTATGGATTGTTTCGTCTATTTGAATATTTTTCAAGGAAACCATCTCTCTTTCATTTATCAAAGAAATATTCGCTGGCAAATAAATTTTTCCCTAGAGGCACGTTACACATTTTTATTTTGAATTTAGTCTAGTTCAGTTTAGCATTTTGGATATAGTTTGGTCTAGTTTAATTTAGTTTAATTTAATTCTTCGCTTAAACTTTACCAAGTTTGTTTAATTCAGACTTCATAACTATAGTTACGATTGTAGCTATTATAAAATATATTAAGTGAGATATAAAATTTTAAAGGTTAAAAAAATACAAGAGCGATCATTGAATCACAGTGTAAATGACTAGTAAAAGAATCTGACTCGTGACTCGTCGAGAGAAAAAAAGAAGGAATAAAAATATAGAAGTTATCAAAAATACATCTAATGATAAAGTACGTCTAAGATAAAGTTTTATTAAAGTTTCTACTGGTTATGGTTTCTACGGTTTCACAGGGAGTATCATACGAATCCCTACTCCCGATAGGGATCGGGGCCCCGCAGCGTTGGAAGAGGAACGCAGTAGCAGAGTGTCTCGGAGTGCCACGAAACGAATATCAGGCCGTTGCAGAGGTTGCTCCAGCGGCCTGCCAAGTGGCAAGTGCCAGTTGATCCGCAGCATTCGCTACGATTGGATACGGTACGCTTGAAGCGCGCGCGCATACGGTGCACCAAAGGGATAATTTTCGGATTCACCGCCCCTTTGTGCCCCTTCGAGAAAAAACGAAATACCAATGAATTTCGCAGAATATGTTGTTGAAATGAAAAGACAGACGAACAGAAATGTGCTATACATTGGAAACATAGGAATGTAGCGAGCGTACATGTGTAGCTGTGCGCGGGCGTGCTTTTCAGACGAGTTTCCCGTCCATTCGTCATTTTCCTCATTTTCCGAGAAACACATTGACAAGATTGGAGAAAACGCAATGATGATCCCGACGATACGAGCCATCGTTGTTTTATTATTCATCGTCGATTTCGATGCTGTGGCAGCTAATACTGTGACATCAGCTAAGGTACTCGAGAAATTTACTTTTATTTTTATTCATTGACATAAATTGACTTGCGAGGAGGAGGGAGGGAGGAG